ACGTTCTTCGATGCAGCTACACGTTACGTTTGGCACCTCAATCTTCCGAGCAAGGACATGGCCTTCGAAGCCTTCATCGCTTGGCTCCCAGTAGCAGAACGAGAATCAGGCGAGAAACTGAAAAGCTTTCAGTCAGACGGAGGAAGAGAATACACCTCACAGAGGTTCAAGCAGTTCTTGGCAGAAAGGGGAATCAAAAGGCTCATCTCGCTTCCTTACGCCCATCAACAGCAAGGCGTGGCGGAACGGATGAATCGAACTCTCCAGAACACCATGCGCAAGTTACTGCGTGGCATGCGACTGCCCAATCACCAGTGGCCTGAAGCGATGGACCACGCTGTCATGCTGCACAACTTGCTTTCGTCGTCGTCACTACCGAACAACGCATCACCGCACCTGCTGTGGACAGGAAAACAGGGCAGCACAAAAATGTTAAGAGTTTTCGGCTGCATGGTACAGTACCGACCCCCATCTGCACGAGCCGGCCGATTTTCCCAACGAGCACAGTGGGGACTACACCTGGGCATCGAAAGAAATTACAACGCGTGGAAAATTTTCGACGTCACTCCAAAGAAACAGTAGCAGTACGTGACGTCATTTTCTACGAACGACTCACCCTTCCGACATATCTTGCCAACCTGGAAGAAGATCGGGATCCCACAGGTGGCTTCCGTGGTGACCGACACTTCGCCTCGGCAGCAGACGAAGCTGACTGGGACGAGCAGAACGTGGATAACGCCTCGGAAGAAGCAGGACCACTCCCTTACTGCTCCGTGCCTATCCCGATGGATGACGAAAATCCTCGCGAAAGCGTCAACGCCGAAACTTATTTCGACCTCGCCGACACCGGTTACGTTACACCTGCAGAAGTCAACACCAACGAAGCAGAACGCATAGGGCCCAACTTCATACCTGACCCAGAAACAGTAGACGAAGCAGCTTATCCCGAGGACACCACACTCCCCCGCTACACACAGAGTGGTCTTCAGATACTTGGTCTCGTCACCGCGGTCCACGGCACGGATACTCCTAAGGAGCCTGCCACAGTTCAGCAGGCTTTGGGGGGGGAGCATAAGGAAAAATGGCGTGAAGCCATGGACAAGGAACTGAAAGCACTACAGGAGCGCAACACCTGGAAAGTTGTTCCTATCGGCGTGGCACGAAACAAGACAATACTCACCGGGAAGTGGGTCTTCCGTGTGAAGACGAAAGCAGATGGCACCATCGACAAGTTCAAGGCACGCTGGGTCGTACGTGGCTTCGACCAAGAGCACGGACGTGATTTCACCAAGACATTCGCACCGGTTAGTCGACACACCTCACTACGGATTCTTCTCGCGATCGCCGCTATGAAGAAAAAGAAGCTGCGGCAAATCGACGTTGCCAATGCTTTTCTCTACGCACCTGTCGACGCAGAAATCTTCGTCGAACTTCCACACGGTTCCCATGGAGAACCTAACCAAGTCTGCCAGCTACTCAAGTCCTTGTACGGGATCAAACAGGCCCCGAGACTGTGGCATCAGTACTTACACGCTCGACTCACTCGCATCAGATTCCGGCAGCTACCGCACGACCAAGGAATGTACCGGCTCACGAAAGGCGACGACTACATTCTACTAATCGTCTACGTAGACGATCTGCTTTACTTCGGGTCAACCGACAATGTCACTATCTGGTTCGAAGGGGAGTTACAAAAGGACCTCACGCTCACGGTATCATCTACCGTCACGCAATACCTGGGCCTCAACATCCAAGAAGAAGAAGGCGCGATCTATCTTAACGCCGCAAAATATGCCGACACCATCGCCAAACGGTTCGCACTCACGCCAACTACCATCTCTACGCCATACCGCTATACGACAGGAAATGACAAGGCAGAATCTGCTCCACTGAAACCCGCCGGCATACGCAACTACCAGAGAAAGCTGGGATGCCTTCTCTTCGCGGCCGTCACCTGCCGTCCAGACTTATCATACTCAGCAAGTCAACTCGCCACCTACCTCAAAAGGCCTGAAGACGAACACATGAAGGAGCTCGATCGCGCTTTACACTACCTTGTAAGCACTCCGACGATCGGCCTGATCTACTACAAGAACATAACTACAACACCCAAGCTAATCGGCTACGTCGACGCCGACCACGCCAGAGATCCTGACAACAGGCGCTCACGCACAGGCTACATCTACCGTCTCGAGCCTATCGGACCTATTTCGTGGCAGTCGAGCAAACAGGAATTAATCGCCCTCTCCTCAGCTGAAGCTGAATATATCGCACTCTGCTCAGCCACCAAGGAAGGACTGTACCTTCGCGAACTACTGGAGGAAGCGAAGCTGGCCCAGTTACCCAGCTTCTCCCTATTCTGCGACAACCAGTCGGCAATTCGCATCGCCAACAAAAATGGATTCGCGAACAGGACGAAACATATCGTCCTGCGATATTTCTTCGTAAAAGACGAGATCGAGAAGGGAAGACTTGAGCTGTCTTACTGCCCCACATCCGAGATGGCAGCTGATTACTTGACCAAGAAGCTCGGAAAGTCGAAGTTCGAATATTGCATGTTGCTGACTGGACAGAGCCACGTCACCTGCAGCGACACTCCAGAAGCGAAGGGGAGTGTTGGAAACAAGTGATTTATAGCGCCTCTGTCGTATCGAAGCTGAGACACAAAACGGAACTAACTACATCGAAGTATCACGCGAGTCAATTGTCGGAGGTTACGCGAAGGTCAAAGGTCCCCGACCTTTGACCTGACGAAATGTACAGTGCGACAGCAAGGACATATAACTGAATCGTTACAGAGCAGTTACCCGAGTCGGCACTGTATCGAACCGCAACAGCAAAAACAGTTAAAATAGAACCTTTTCATATTCCTTGTAATCATTTAAAACCTTGTATCTTTTTATTAGTATCAACTTACTTTATTCTCACAAACCAGTACAAGGTGGTTCAACAAGTCTTTATTAAACGCTTCCGCTACTACATCATCCTACTCTTGAATTCTGTCCCTCAAAGATCCTAAAGGGCTTTCTCAGCCCAACAAGATCTAAGTTATAGATTAGGTTCTTCTCACCAGTGGCATAAAAATGGAGTAGATGACGCATACGTAGCAGGCCACCTGAAGGAAGAACGCATAAGATGATAAAAACGAAAGAAAGAAAGAAGAAAAACCACCTGTATTGAACGGATTAACAAGGAAATGTGAACATGGTTATTACTAGATGTGGAAATGATGACATGGCTTCAAGAGAGACGGACGAAAGTCGAATAAGTGGAAAGGAAGCACTAGTTAAGAACGACCTAACTGTTAGCAGCCCAAAAAAACCGATCTAGCTGCTAATTTAATATGGCTGAGGCGTCTAGATTCTACCTAACAGCAACATCTAACGAGCTATATTACGAGTCATCGGTAGTTACGATCCACCACAAACTGAGTTTATAGTCTAGCGTAAATCATCTAACTTAGTCTAGTTAAAGCAGGGTACTTCTCACCACGGGTAGGCTGGTGGAGCGTGACTAGCGACTGTTTTAGTTTACAACCAAGCTTCATTGGCGAGAAGAGAGGGAGGAAAGGAAGAAACAGAAACCCTAAGGCACTGCTGATTGCGTCCAAAACAACAAGATATTTAATATTGTGTTAATGACATAAAAGTTGTTGGCGCAGTTGATTGAAGGTGGATCAGAGGGTCGGAAGTTCTATTCCTGCTAATGCCTTGTCAAACTTCATCCAGAAACCATTATGTGGCTGAGACTCCATGCTAATTTCAACATGTCGTCTTTTTTTTTTTTTTTACATATGACAAATGCTTCGCAACCCTAAGACGATTTCGTCGCCTCTTGTTTTTTTTTTTTTTTTTTTTTTTTTTTTTTTTATGTCTGATCCATCAGACCCCCAAAACCTAGGGCATCTGATGCATCAGGTGGGTGTAAATCCTAGCGAGGACCCTGCCTGACGCACAAACTGGCACCGTTCGCAGTGAGCGTGGCAGTGGGCCTGTAGTGACCAATCGCATTGGCCGAGCTTCTTTTTTGGACCAATCGCGTGCGCAGAATGAGTTAGTGTCATAACACTAACTTCTTGACACTTGGCTGGGATACGCCCTTACACCGAGAGATGTGAGTGTTAGAGGCGAGTCTGACAAGTGGTTGGCCTGATAGGGGGCCGTAGGAACACGCTCTTAAAAGCGCAGGAGGTGCGAATCTATCCAGAGTGACACGGTATATAAAACAAGAACTGAATACATCCTGGAAGTAAGCACCCCAGGTGTTGACCTCTGGAACTTTGACGTTTCCAGGGGCGTCTAACGAATCTTGAAGATGACGGCAGCGCGGCCTCGGTGTCTCATTCATACCACGCTGGATGGCCTTTCACACCAACAAATTCTCCTTCACACCATCTCTCCTCATCCCGAACGCGTCATTTCTTTTGCCTCTTCAGGCCCTCCACCTTGCCTGTCCCTGGCCCTGCCTTCCCTGTTCCCGGCCCTGCCTTGTGTGTGCTCTGCCCCATCTTGCGCTTGAGGCTCTTCACAACCACACTCAGCTCCGCCCTGCCACTACCCGCACCCTTCCCCTCCTCCCCATCCCCAGCCCCCCGCCCACCTCCCAGCCCCCCTGGAACCCCCCGCCCATGGCTGGCGGAACCCCTGCCACTGCTGCCACTCCCGCCACCACCCGCTGCTCCCCCCCCCGCTGCCCCACTTGGCACGCGGCGGCGCTGCTTCTCGGCTATCAGGCGCTGCGGGGCTGACGACCTGGCGGTTGGGGGGGAGAGCGGGGCCAGGGCCGTGAGGGGCATGCGACATGACACACAACGGTGGCCAGGGGATGGCATGGAGTGGCAGGGATGGAACCGAATGGGGGGGTGGGATGGAATGGAACGGGGGGATGGGATGGAATGGAACGGGGGGATGGGATGGAATGGAACGGGGGGATGGGACGGAATGGAACGGGGGGATGGGATGAGATGGCAGCAGTGGGGTCCGGTCCATGCAATGGAGGGCTCACTTGAGGAAGCGGGGGTCGGTGGGGTCGATGGCGAAGTGCGATGACGTGAAGAGAGCAGCGAAGCGCGGATCATTCACGTCCACACCCCGCCCCGCCTCTGCCTGCTCCACACTCCTCCCCTCCCTTCCGCCCCTCCCCACCTTGCCGCCACCACCCACCGACCGCGCTCTTCCTCCCTCCCCATCAGCCTCCTCCTCCCCCGCTGCGCCATGCCCCCCCCTCGCCCCTCTGCCCTGCGCGCGGCGCTGCTCCCTGGCCTTGCGTGCATCCGCCTTGAGGTTGAACCCCTTCACCCCCGCGCCCTCGCCCCCCTCCATCAGCAGCAACTCCAGCTCCGCCCGCCGCCTCTCCTCCTCTGCCCTCTCTCGCTCCCGCTCCGCCCTCTTCCTCTCGCACGCTTCTGCCTTCCTTTCATACTCACTCTTCCCTGCCTTAACTCCCTTCCCCCCTCCAGCCCCTCCGTTGCCACCCATGGCCATGCCAGCAGCAGCACCGCCGGCATCAGCGGAGGCAAAGAAGGGATCAGCAAAGGGGTCCTCGTCGGCGGGCAGAGCAAAGAAGGGGTCGTTCTCCTGCTGCACGCGCCTGCTGTCGTACAGGTCCTCGTCGCTTCCTGCCTCCTCCTCCGCACTCCCCCCTGCGCTCCCTCCTGCCGCCTTGCTCTCCTCGGCCAGTCGGCGGCGCTCCTTGCGGCGCTCCTTGCGCTGCCGCTGGTACGCCTCAAACACCGTCTCGCTGCCGCTGCGCTGCTGCTCGCTGCGCCGCCGTGCCAGCTTGTCGCCCAGCGCTGCCAGCCCTGTGCTGAATGTCACCTCCATGTCGCCCTCCAACCCTGATGACCCCGACCCCTCCCCATCCGACTCCTCCCCCTCTGCCTCTCCCGGTCTCCCTTTCCCCTTCTTCCTCTTGCCCTCGCCATCCCCCGCCAGCCCCTTCAACAGCATCCTCAGCTTCTCTCTTGTCCCTCCGCCCTTCTTCTTCCCTTCCTCCTTCCTGCCACCATTCTCCGTTCTCTGCTCCTCCTCATCCTCCTCCTCGTCCTCTCCCTCTTCGTCCCCCTCCTCGCCCGAGGACGAGGCGAGGTAGTCGCGAAAGTCCAGATCCGCCACCTGCAGAGTGCAGCGCAGAGGACACAAGGGGACATGCCCAGCCCGCAGGAGAAAGGGGGGGAAGGGGGGGGTTGAGAACAGGAGGAGCAACGGAGGGAAAGGGTGTTCAGGGAGAAAAAGGGGGGGAGGGAGCAAGAGGGGAGAGGGAGTGGTGAAGGCAGATGCACCTGCTGGCATGGCACGCCCCCCTGACGCCAGACGGCACGCACCTGGTCGGCACGCACCTGGTCGGCACGCACCTGGTCGGCACGCACCTGGTCGGCACGCACCTGGTCGGCACGCACCTGGTCGGCACGCACCTGGTCGGCTGGCACCTGGTCGGCACGCACCTGTTCTGAGCTCACCTGGTCTGCGCTCACCTGGTCTGTGGCGAACTTGCGGCGCAGTGCTCGCACGCGGGTGGGCTCGTCCTCATCCCACGTGAGCTTCACCGTGCTGTGCTGCAGCACCCGCGTCGTGAACACCGGTGCCTCGTAGTCCCCCGGCACCTGCACGTGTGTGTGTGGGTGTGTTGCAACTAGCAATTAGAGAACGTGATGCGTGAGAGTACAGTTAGCAGACCACTTGGGTCTCCGGTACTTCACGTCAGCAGCTACGCTCGCCACCCTTGTCCTTGGAAGCATTCATGCGCAAGTGAGTGCAAGTGAGTGCATGTGAGTGCATGTGAGTGCATGTGAGTGCAAGTGAGTGCATGTGAGTGCATGTGAGTGCATGTGAGTGCATGTGAGTGCATGTGAGTGCATGTGAGTGCATGTGAGTGCATGTGAGTGCATGTGAGTGCATGTGAGTGCATGTGAGTGCATGTGAGTGCATGTGAGTGCATGTGAGTGCAAGTGAGTGCATGTGAGTGCATGTGAGTGCAAGTGAGTGCATGTGAGTGCATGTGAGTGAATGTGAGTGCATGTGAGTGCATGTGAGTGCATGTGAGTGCATGTGAGTGCATGTGAGTGCATGTGAGTGCATGTGAGTGCATGTGAGTGCAAGTGAGTGCATGTGAGTGCATGTGAGTGCATGTGAGTGCATGTGAGTGCATGTGAGTGCATGTGAGTGCATGTGAGTGCATGTGAGTGCAAGTGAGTGCAAGTGAGTGCATGTGAGTGCATGTGAGTGCAAGTGAGTGCATGTGAGTGCATGTGAGTGCATGCGAGTGCATGCGAGTGCATGTGAGTGCATGTGAGTGCAAGTGAGTGCATGTGAGTGCATGTGAGTGCATGTGAGTGCATGTGAGTGCAAGTGAGTGCATGTGAGTGCATGTGAGTGCAAGTGAGTGCAAGTGAGTGCATGTGAGTGCATGTGAGTGCATGTGAGTGCATGTGAGTGCAAGTGAGTGCAAGTGAGTGCATGTGAGTGCATGTGAGTGCAAGTGAGTGCATGTGAGTGCATGTGAGTGCATGTGAGTGCATGTGAGTGCATGTGAGTGCATGTGAGTGCATGTGAGTGCATGTGAGTGCAAGTGAGTGCATGTGAGTGCATGTGAGTGCAAGTGAGTGCAAGTGAGTGCATGTGAGTGCATGTGAGTGCATGTGAGTGCATGTGAGTGCATGTGAGTGCATGTGAGTGCATGTGAGTGCATGTGAGTGCATGTGAGTGCATGTGAGTGCAAGTGAGTGCAAGTGACTGCATGTGAGTGCATGTGAGTGCAAGTGAGTGCAAGTGAGTGCATGTGAGTGCATGTGAGTGCATGTGAGTGCATGTGAGTGCATGTGAGTGCATGTGAGTGCATGTGAGTGCATGTGAGTGCATGTGAGTGCATGTGAGTGCATGTGAGTGCATGTGAGTGCATGTGAGTGCAAGTGAGTGCATGTGAGTGCATGTGAGTGCATGTGAGTGCATGTGAGTGCATGTGAGTGCATGTGAGTGCATGTGAGTGCATGTGAGTGCATGTGAGTGCATGTGAGTGCATGTGAGTGCATGTGAGTGCATGTGAGTGCATGTGAGTGCATGTGAGTGCATGTGAGTGCATGTGAGTGCATGTGAGTGCATGTGAGTGCATGTGAGTGCAAGTGAGTGCATGTGAGTGCATGTGAGTGCATGTGAGTGCATGTGAGTGCATGTGAGTGCATGTGAGTGCATGTGAGTGCAAGTGAGTGCATGTGAGTGCATGTGAGTGCATGTGAGTGCATGTGAGTGCATGTGAGTGCACGTGAGTGCATGTGAGTGCATGTGAGTGCATGTGAGTGCATGTGAGTGCAAGTGAGTGCATGTGAGTGCATGTGAGTGCATGTGAGTGCATGTGAGTGCATGTGAGTGCATGTGAGCATGCATTCCACCTCCACTACCAACATGATGGGGTGCCTTCCACATTGCCTCAACGCGGCGTTGGGAAGCTGCGAGACGGCGAGTGCAGCTGCGATGACCAACCACCACTCCCTCCGCACTCGCCTGCCCATGTGGGATGCCATGCCTTCACGGCTGACGGCCTTGGTAAGCAGAGGAGGCTACGGAAGGAATTGGACATGTGTTGGGAGCGTTAGCTGGCGGCCACCGCGATTCCACGCATGGCTGTGGATGCGGCAAGCGGCAGGGTTAGTGAGATTCTTTTCCCGTCGCAGCACACGGAGGGGTCACATCGCACCTCGGTGCAGGAGTCGCGGGGTTGTCGGTCGGTGAAGGTCATGGCGTGGGGGATGAAGCGCAGGTCGAGCTGGTTGGCACTGTTCTCAAACTCCATACCGTCACACTCCGCGTACACGTGGGCCGCCGTGGCCGCGCTGTCACACTCCACCACCGCGTAGTAGTACCTGCTCCCTCGCTCCGGGGGGGGGGGAGAAGGATAGGGGAATGAGGAATGGGGGTTCCGCACTCAAACTCTTACTTGTGGGGTGAGGGCGGACAGGGACAGGCCAGTGTGGGAGGGGGCGAGAGAGGGCGGTCACCTGAGCTTGCACTTCTCGTACTCCCTCACCTGAGCTTGGACTTCTCGTACTCCCTCAGCCTCTCCGCATCCACGCCCTCGCCCTCCTCACTGCTCTCCCCTTCCTCCTCCTCCTCATTCCCTCTATTTTCCTGCCTCTCCTCTCTCACCCGCACGTTGCTTTTCTCACCCGCACGTTGCTTTTCTCACCCGCACGTTGCTTTTCTCACCCGCACGTTGCTTTTCTCACCCGCACGTTGCTTTTCTCACCCGCACGTTGCTTTTCTCACCCGCACGTTGCTTTTCTCACCCGCACGTTGCTTTTCTCACCCGCACGTTGCTTTTCTCACCCGCACGTTGCTTTTCTCACCCGCACGTTGCTTTTCTCACCCGCACGTTGCTTTTCTCACCCGCACGTTGCTTTTCTCACCCGCACGTTGCTTTTCTCACCCGCACGTTGCTTTTCTCACCCGCACGTTGCTTTTCTCACCCGCACGTTGCTTTTCTCACCCGCACGTTGCTTTTCTCACCCGCACGTTGCTTTTCTCACCCGCACGTTGCTTTTCTCACCCGCACGTTGCTTTTCTCACCCGCACGTTGCTTTTCTCACCCGCACGTTGCCCCTCTGACCCGCACCGCACGTTGTCCCTCTGACCCGCACGTTGCCCCTCCTCTCACTCGCACGTTGCCTCTTCTCACTCGCACATAGTCTCTTCTCACCCGCACGTTATCCCTCTCCTCTCCTCTCACCCGCACGTTCCACCCCGTCTCACCCGCACGTTCCCCCCCGTCTCACCCGCACGTTCCCCCCCGTCTCACCCACACGTTGCCCTCCCTTGTCTCACCCGCACGTTATCCCTCTCCTCTCCTCTCACCCGCACGTTCCCCCCCGTCTCACCCGCACGTCCCCCCCCGTCTCACCCGCACGTTCCCCCCCGTCTCACCCGCACGTTCCCCCCCGTCTCACCCGCACGCCCCTCTCCTCTCATCTCACCCGCACGTTGTCCCAGTCCATGTTGACGAGCGCAAGGCGCCTCGTTACCTCCTCCACCGTCTCCACTCGCTCCTCCACCTGCTGCCAGGCGGAATAGTCGGCGGTGAGAGATGGGGGCAGAGCGGATGTGGGGCGATGAGAGGGAGGGAGGGGGTGGAGCAGAGATGAGCAAGAGTGGGGAAGTGCATGTGGTGGGGAAGTGCATGTGGTGGGGAAGTGCATGTGGTGGGGAAGTGCATGTGGTGGGGAAGCGGAACGGTGTGATCAAGGGGGTCCAGAGATGAGTGCGCGGCGAGACGTAAGGCGAGCAGAGATTGAGAGATGTGAACGGGTAGGGGGTGGGCAGGGGGGCAAAGGCGAGCAGAGAGGGATTGGAGTAAGGCACGCACCTGTAGGGTTGATGCCTCTTCATCGCTTTCACTCTCCGAGCCTGATGAGGACGAGGAGGACGAGGACGACGAGTCATCTGAGCCCTCCCTCCCTTCTTCTTCATCGCTCTCATGTACCTCACCCTCCTCCTCCTCCACCTGCTCCTCCTCATCCTCCTCCTCCTCCTCCACCTGCTCCTCCTCCTCCACCTCCTCCTCCTCCTCCTCCTCCTCCTCCTCCTCCTCCTCCTCCTCCTCCTCCTCCTCCTTTTTCAACCTTGCTTCCTCCTTATTTCTCTCCCTTCTGCCCTCATTCCCCTCCTCCCCCTCATCCCCCTCCTCCCCGCCCCCCCCCACATCCACGCGGTAGTACCGCTTCAGGTCGGCCCCTTGCTGCGCCTCGCGCCGCCGCCCGCGCTTGTCCACGCCGCCCGCCTCGCCGAACTGCGCCGAGCGGAACATGCCTGAGAACCGCGCGTCCACCGCCACGCGCGTCTCGCGCACCGGCACGCGCTGGGGGGGACAAGGACGGGTGGCCGCGGAAATCTCAAATTCGCGTTTAGAATCGCCGTCCAAGGGTCCATGGGTTCGAATTTCAGCATTCAACTTTGGGTTTCGGGGTCCGGAAATTTGGGGGCGCAGGGGTGCGGGCAGCGATAGGGGGAGAAGGGGAATCCCCTTGTGCGGATGCGCGCAGCCCCCGTGTGCAGCACGGCAGGCGGAAACACGGCAGCACGGCAGGAGGGGCGCGAGGATGTAACGCGAGAGGCATTAGGAGGGAAGGGCATGGCAGGGGGTGAGGGCGCGTGGCATGTTAGAGGAGGGCATTGGAGACTCACCGCAAATCGTGGGTCTGAGTGGAGCGCGGCGAACCGCGTGTCAGAGATGACGGTTGGCGGCATCTGCGGCGCGCTGGGATCGGCCCGCCCGCCACCAGCGCGAGGCGCCTTCGCTCCCCGCTTCGCCGCCTTCATTGCTCCGTTGCACTGCACTGCCACGCGAAGATAATGGCGTAGCGTGCAAGTGTCTAAACCAATCTCGAACGAAACTTAGATTCCGCAAAAAGTGAAGAGTGCTGCTGACACACGAACAAAAATACGAGGGGTTCTGGATTTCGGGTTTAGGCATTATCACGGGGGTGTGGGAATTGTTCGAAAATGGAACGAAATGTTTGAGCGCTAACGATTTTGCGACACTCGTCGTGGTGTGGCGAAAAACAGCGCCTAAGGGCGCTGTCTTTTGATGTAGAAGTTCAAAAATTGGGTCGACCTTTTGCTGGTAGCCAGTTTCGCCAATTTCGTGTACGGTTGTTTGCGACGCTCGTGTGTTCATGTTCAAAAATTGAAAAAAAAAACAGGACACTGAACTGGGGTCGATTCGGATTCGAATTTCCACGCCCAATCTTGTGTTCTTCTACTCACGCACCAAGGAGCTGCGAATTTTGCGACAGTTACGAGCAAGTACCCGGTTACCGAATCCGGATTCGATAACGAATAAAATTTTCTAGGCCAGGTAACCTACGAAATTTGGGCACGATCCATATTCACTGTATAAAGTCGAACTTCAATAGACGAAATTTGTTGTGTCATGGGCTTGATGTGAAAAAAGACCAAGAAAAAATACACGAAAGAAAGGAAAAAACCAGATCGAGATAGTCGACTACAGGTCGACCAAGGTTCAAATGCAAAAAGTCGAAAAAAAAAAAGAAAAAAAAAAGAAAAAAAAAACCTCCAAAAGATGCGGGCCCTAACGGCGCAGAACATTGCAACGAGCAATTCAGTGTTCTTTAAAATGGAACCAACATCATTTATATTTGGTTAGGTGTTACTCTTGCAATGGGTCGAGCTAAGGTTTGCAATAACTGGGCAAATGAAAGTTATTATGTAAGGGGAAGCAATGCTTGCATGGAGGCTCGGGCTATTCATGTGGCGTAAGATCGGGGCGACTTGGCAATGTATTCTCGGTACTATGGTATCAGGGCTAACATTATTATACTATTTTAGTCTCGTTGTTTGAAAATTGAGGCTTTTTTTAGATTTTTTAAATTTCAGAATTCTTTTTTTGGACCCTGGCTGCTTCAGAGTTATATGTTAGAGAACACTAAAAAAAACAAATCAAGTTCAGACTGTCATGATACTGAGTTTGCATACGGTGTGGTACCGTATGCCCCACTGTGACTGATAGCGGGTACAGAGACTTTTCACACAAGTTCAGTCTGTCTGTGTATCCAAACTCCCGTTCATTTCTGCTCTTTCCCCCTCCCACGTTCCATAACCCCCCTTATTTTGCTCTCGTAGTTTTCTCGCTATTTAGATCCAGACCTGAATCATGTGGGTTTTCTTGCCTCTCCCCCTATCTCAAACTCCCAAGCATGCCCTAATTTATCAGTATAATTTAAAATGATTACCCTGATTTTGTGATAGGGCTCGGGTGTTAGGACTGACAAGACATGATAAATGGATTAGTTGGATTGAAGCTTCAGTATTTGTCAAACCGCATGTATGCATGCTAGGTTGTTGTGGGGCACATACGATGGGGTACAACACATTAGGGTTTCCTATTTGTATCCCAACCTTGCTGGTCAATCACTATTCGCCATTTTTCCATGTGCCGTTATAGAAATTGGCCCAGTTACCCAATTTCTCTCTCTTCTGCGACAACCAATCAGCCATTCGCATAGCGAACAAAAACGGATTCGCGAATCGAACGAAGCACATCGCCCTTCGGTACTTCTTCGTGAAAGACGAGATCGAAAAGGGAAGACTCGAACTATCCTACTGTCCCACATCCGAGATGGCAGCCGACTACTTGACCAAGAAACTCGGAAAAACAGAAGTTCGAGTACTGCATGCTGCTGACTGGACAAGGACACGTCATCAGCAACGATCCTCCAGAAGCGAAGGGGAGTGTTGGAAACAAGTAATCTATAACGCTTCTCTCGTATCGAAGCTTCGACACAAAACGGAACTGACTACAGTGAAGAAACACCCGAGTCAACCACGGCAACCGTCGGAGATTGCGCGAAGGTCAAAGGTCCCCGACCTTTGACCTGACGAAACATACAGTGCGACAGCAAGGACACATAACTGACTCGTTACAGAGCAGTTACCCGAGTCGGCACTGTATCGAACCGCAACAGCAAAAAGCAGTTAAAGAAGGACTCTTTATATTCCTTGTAATCATATAAAAGGCTTGTATCTCTTTGCTATTATTCAACTTATCTTGTTCTCACAAACTAGCACAAGGTGGTTCACGACAACTCTTCATTAAACGCTTCCGCTATTACAACTCTACGTCAACACTCGATCTTAGTCCTGAAAGGTTACTAAGGGCTTTTCTCAGCCCAACATGGTATGAGAGCAAGGCAGGACAAGATCACTCTTAAACTTTTTACAATACAAATCATGGCTACACAAAAGGAGAGGAGTGTGAAGAAACAGGAATGAATGACTAGGAAATGAGTTGGGTACAAATATGAAACCCTAGGAAACTGTACCCCATAGTGTCTACTCCACTACAGCCTAGATAGGCTATGTGATTAATGTTTGACACACCCCCATAGGCAAAGTGGGGGAGAACAAGGGGTCACAAGACCAGTCAAGCAAAGCAAAGCAAAGCAAAGCAAGCTCAGGGTGGATCACAACGTCACCACACATTCCGAGCACAGGTTCAAAAGGCCACAAGGCCAGTTCACATGCAGGTATATATATATATATATATCACAGTACAAGTAAAGTCAAGAGATAAACAAGTGAGGCCAAGTAGGCACAAGACCTAACATAGTACAGAAGCGCTGATGATCACAAGGCTGAAGTGCCTTGGTGAAGATATCAGCAGTGTTGGCCTGAGAGGCCACGTAAGCAAGGCGTAACTGACCACGCTGCTGTAGCTCACGAGCAAGGAAGTAGCGAAGAGCAATGTGCTTCGTTCTGTGCTCCATTCTGTCCTCCCGACACAAGGCCAGCATGGCCTTGTTGTCTACGTACAGAACTGGAGGAGAACGAGGCGGCTCTCCCAGGTCAGTCAGCAGGTAGGTGAGCCAGCGTAACTCCTGTGCAGCCATGGCACCTGCGTAGATCTCAGCCTCACAACTAGAGCTGAGAACAGAAGACGAGCGGGTAGACCGCCACGAAACAGAACCGGAACCAAGGCTGAAGGTGTAACCCTGTGACGACCGCTGAGTAGCCAGGTCGTCAACCCAAGACGCGTCTGCGTGACCAGTGAGGACCACTGGACTCCGCCCTCCAAGCACGAGCCCCATGCCGTACTGCACAGGTAGCGCAACACCCTCTTCGCGGCAGCCATGTGCTCTGGTCGGTGTCTCCCAGGAGCAACATAGCGTGCCAAGATGCTAAGAGGGTATGCCAGGTCAGGTCGAGTGCAGGTCATCAGGTACATGAGGCAGCAAACAAGCTCTGGGTACGGGCCACTCGGCTCTACGGACTCATCCGAAGGCAGAGCTGAGAGCGAGTGGCGAGTAGACAGAGGAGTGGCCTGAGGCGAGGAGTACGTGAAGTCGAAGCGCTGAAGGACCTGCTGCACCATGTGTGACTGAGTCAGGGTAATGGTGCGCCGTGCTCTGTCCCGGGTGATCTGCAAGCCAAGATAGCTGCGCAGTTCACCCAAGTCTGTGCACGTGTGTCTCTTCTGCAGCTCGGACTTCACGTGGGCGAGTCCAGCAGTGTCAGCTGTAGCAAACACCAAGTCGTCGACATACACGAGGATGTAGAACGGCGGCAGCAAGGTGTCGGTGCGAAGAAACAGCGACGGGTCAGCAGTAGAAGGAGCAAACCCAAGAGCCGCAAGCGTAGTCCTCAGTGTGTCGTGCCACTCACGGGGCGCCTGGCAGAGACCGTAGACTGGCCGCCGGAGACTCCACTGGGTACCAGGAGGAAACGACCCAGTGAAGCCAGGTGGGTGGCGCAGCCAGATCTCCTCGTGCAGGCTGCCCTGTAGGAAAGCAGTGCTGAAGTCAAGGGAGTGAAGCTCGTAGTCACGCTGAGCAGCAACGTAAAGTAGAACCCGAAGAGTGGTGATCTTCGGGGTCGGGGAGAAGGTCTGAAAGTAGTCAACTCCCTGCCGCTGACTGAAGCCTCGAGCCACGTAACGCGCCTTGAAGACAGGCGGAGAACCCGGCGGCCGCTTCACCCTCAAAATCCACATGCCACTGACGATGTTCGCCCCAGGTGGGGGAACCTCGTCGACGTAGGTGCCTGTGGACTTCCAGGAAGCCATCTCTGCATCCATGGCTGCCTGCCACTGAGAGGAGTAGGGACCCTCTATCGCCTCTGCGTAAGAGCGCGGGGTCGGGATGTCTGGTGCATCCGGGTCTCCCTCAGGGGCAAGCAGCATGGACACGAGATGAGGTAAAGCAGCAGCAAAACACTTGAACTCCTCCTGCCTGTCCTCAAGGACGTCCGTGCTAAGAGCACACTCACCCCCGACGGACGGAGGACAGACAGACGCAGACTCAGCAACAAGACTAGTGGCGTAGTCTAGACGACAGTGAGCAGCGAAGTCGACAAGCTCGGCAACTAAGGCAGACGCAGCAGCGGATTCAAAGGAAGGGTCAGTGACAGCAGTGGCAAGGAAATGCGTGACAATAGGGCTGGCAGCACGAAGGGAGTCAGACTCCGGGTCAGCAAGGGCAGGAAGAGAGGACTCTGGAGGAGACGGCAAAGGGACACGCTGTGGTGCAGTGGAAGGACGCAGTGCCATCTGATGCGTGCCCGGGACCGTAGGAGGACGCTGACGTGGAACACGACGACTAGTGCGAGCAGTACGAATAGGTGACTCAGGATGCGACTCAGGCTCACGACGCTCAGCAAGACCTCCAGTAGGACCAGCGTAGGGAGAAGGAGCAGGGAGAGGGGAGGCCAGCTGTAACTGTGACTCGGACTGGACAGGCGGTGGACACTCTAAGGAAGGAGTAGGACCAGAAGAAGGCGGAAGACCAAGAACCTGCTCAAGGAGC